TGTCCCTAGTAAACATTATTAGTGGGTAAACACTATTAGTGGTACACATGAACCTTACGGATAAGAGAAGTGATGCCAAGAGGGGCTAGCGTAGTGGGATTATGGACGCAATTTTTTGTTTCTCTACAAAATTTGGTTAATCCAAAACTCATCTAGTTCCAGAGCAATACAGAGAGGTACCCGAGAGCTCCCAAACCATGTGGAAAACTTCGTGTCCCTCATCAGAGTTTTCCATTGACCTCAGGAACTTTGTTAAGTTTCAAACTTCTCGCACGCTCTCTGACATTGCCGTGTGTCCCTAGCCTATACTGGTGCCCTGAGAATTTTCACAATGACGTGGATAAGGAGTTTCCACAATTTGATTTGTGGGAACATGATGTACATGAGTTTAGGCGATGCCCACGAGCTCACTGGAACATCGTCAAATTCAAAAAACCACACTCGTTGCAAATCGATTGATGGATTGAATGAGTTCATCAACGAGAGCACAGACAAGAGAATCTGATACCAAATGTAAGCATGTAGCACAAGGAGAATCAGGATTTGGAGGAATTATTCTAGATAGGAATAAAATTATTCATTTTTCATATCTTTCTCTCTCGTGTGCCTTACTCTCTTTAAATATACTCTCTCTGTCCCAAAAAGAATGATGTTGGTTGTCCAGATTCATAGCTAAAGTGTTATCCTCTTTTGGATGGAGGTTGTATCAAGCAATGCCATCTAGCGGCAGACTCGATCCTATAACACAGACACTTGGCTTGTGGGTTCGTCCACTCCTATCATGAGTCTCACACAACACCATTATGTAAGTCCAGTCTGAGTGGATAGTTTCATGACGTTGTTTTCAAGACTATCATGTCATATAGAATGAAATAAAACTTGGAATGAAATACTCACTCTTAATGCAAATTTTATTATATAGTTTTATAGACATTTAATTTCATGATTCACAGTGAGTTGGTAGCCGTACCAAGAGAGTCTTTTAAATAGGATGTCATCAAAAGTACCTTCTCCCTTCATCTCTAAATAATTGTCCTTCTCACTTCTTGATAAATAACTTTGACTAATTTTATATAAAATAATATTAATATGTATAGTACATAATTAATATCATTAGATAGATCATTGAATCAATTTTTATAATAAATTTATTTGGAGATGCAAATGGTGCACGTATTTTCTATAAATCTAGTCAAACTTACGATACGAAAAAAAAATTGTAGTTATTTCGGGACGAAGGGAATATACGATAACCTATTTAATGCAAATAAAACTTAAATGAAACTTCCACTAAAACTGACATGATGCATGCAACGCAATTAGCTCATACTACATAGCGTCTTTAATTCGAAGATCGATTGATATGAAACAATGGATTTGAATAGCTTTATTAGTTGGGCCCATAGTTTTTTTTTCGCTCTAGGTAAGCACGATGACACCATGGGAAAAGGACCACGATATCAGCTGCCGTGACATTTAATATCTCCCAAAGGAAATCATTAGCCATGTCGCAGGGGCGAGCACGAGCTGAGGGCTGACCGGCTGAGGCGCTGCATCTTTTCTGTTCTCTCTCCTGCGTCCTGCCATGAGGCCACGGCCCACGGGCAGCCGCAGGTGTTGGGGAAACTTTTCACTGCTCCCCCTTCTGGCCGTTTGCCTGGGCTCTGCAATGAATTCTCTCTCGTTGCGTTGGCCTCCTTGGCCCCCTCCGCGAACCGGTTCCTTTACTGAATGGGAACAAGTCAAAGACAGGCGTTTTTGCTGCTTGGGACCCTGCGACTTCGAGCCCACTCGGTTTCACTTCACGTCAATCCATACGTGTGGACGTACATTCGAGTAGAATTAAACTAAATTTCACTTCAATCCATTTTAACATACGTGGATTGAGATAAATATATGCACATCTAAACAAGTGTCAGGATGGAAAAAAACATTGCTAAAGGAAACAGGAAAACAGGCGAGTGCACGTATCCATACAGTACGTGTAATTTTAGCAATTTGGTGGTCAATCTCTCTATACATGCATATTGCCGGGTTTCCTGCTCAGAGTAAATGTGTGTACCGGTTCTTGTAATTCAGGTGGTCTCTAAGGCATTGCATTGTACGTGCCCTTGAGGCTTACCCAGCACAGATCCTACACTAGCGCCAGCAGCACACATGCATGCATGCCTGTTTCATTGGACCAGTACTACTGCCGTGAGACAGCACCGCAACATGAGATGCAACAATTGGAGGCATTACCTGATGACTGTACATTTTGCACGCAGGTAATGTGGAGTACCATCCCACTCTAAATCTATTCCAAAAACTAGCTCATTTTACGCATAATCTATTCGTATACATCAAATTAAGACTTGCCATGTTTGCGCCATGAACAGAACAGGCACTATTCGGGTCAATACTGTAGCATCAGCAGTAGACTGGTGAGGATGCAGCATAGGCACGCTAGGGGCGATGCAATGATCAAATTCCCTGAACAACATGCAGGAATGGCGGGACAGTGGTGACAGGGAAGGGTTCCCAACAAAACTGAACCATATGATGATGGCCCTTTTTCTTGTGGTTGCATCAGCCGACCATCCAGAGAGGCACATGCATATAGAGACTCCAGTACAATAATGTCTAGCTTATGTCTTTTTACAATTTTACATGCCGCTATGTATATAGAGACACATGTACGAAGTAGATCCGACCATTTTGCGGGCTGACCAGACAAAAAGACAAGGATTTCTCGGTCTGAATTTTTTGTCTAGTAACGTTCAATGGTATAAACGCCCACTTTTTTAGTTGAAAACTAATTAAAAGAAATAATTCAGGTTGGGCTCAGGTCGAGAATTTTTTTTTGTAGGTTTAGTCTTTGCTTAGTAATAGGAGTGGTCTAGAACCAAGGTGGATTGGCATAATCGTGCTGTTCGGTAATTACCGGGAAAAAGCTTCCCACCTAAATTATGAAATCATGCCAATTTGTGTGGTTAGAGCATCTCTAAGTATCACTCTATAATTCATCATTTCTAGAGTCATTGAATAAAAATCGTTTTCTATATCTTTACACTCTCCGATAGTTTTTTTTATATCTTGTACACTCTAAAGAGTCAACCCCGCTCGTCATTTGTAGATTATTTTAAAAAAATCGTTTTCTATATCTTTCCACTCCACTCTCCAATAGTTGCTCTATATCTTGTGTGCACTCTGAAGAGTCCACTTCGCTCTCCATCTTTGGCGAGCGAGGAATCTAAACTAGATGATAGCTATATTTTGGTATCAAATTAAAGTTGTTGGACATTATCTTCTCATCAAAATCTCTATTTCTAACCATTAGGAAGCATAGTGAATTCTACCTTTTAGTGAGCCGCAGGAGTTTTAGACCTCAATTATATCAATTATTGAGAGAATAATATAATGCTAGACGACCCTAGGTCGTCCTAGTTTGTCCATGGCTATTTATTTTTCTTATTGTCAAACCCCACCTCAAACGGAAGTGTTTCTCATGCATAAAGGTTTTAAATCTCAAGCTAAAGGTATTTAGCGGATGACTTGTAAAACTGCTATAGCGGAGGCTAAATGAGGTTATAGCAGGCTATAGCCGCTAAATTCTACATAAATACAAATAGTTTGATCAGCCTCAAACAGGTTATAACCGGAGATTTAAAACCTTATGCATAACACCACAAAAGCGACATGCTCTCTGACAGGTGGGCCTCATTAAGGCATCATTTGGTAGAGTTCTAGGCGGCTCGAGCTCCAGCTCCGGATTTTTCTTGGATAAAACTATTTTTCACTCTAAATAAACTAAGAGTAGATAAAACTACTATTTTTCACTACGTGGGTAGCCAGGAGTGCAATAATTAGCATTCCTAATTGATTTTTTACTTCTTTTGTCTTATGTACTCGTTTTTCCTTTGTTTTTCATCTATTTTCATATCTAACCTACCTATTTTGCCTCTATATGCCACAAAAAAAAATTGAGCAGATTATTTGGAAAAAGTTATCCACAAAGTTGTGCCCACAAGTTTTAAAAAATATGTTGAATACCGAAAACATCCATATAAGATTTTCATAAACGTTGTGCTATAGAAGTTACATTAAGAATTGTAACAATAGATTTCCATAAAAAGTTACGAGTAAAAGCTGTGTTGAAAAGACTATGCTAAAAGGTTATCATAATAAGTTTGCTCGTAAAACTTATGTGTCCAAAGATGTATTGAAAAGGTTGCGATAATGGTTGTAATTGATTAGGTTTTGTCCTCATCAAAATATTATATATAAAGTTATATATGTGTATAAATATATACTCCCTCTGTCCACAAAACAATACAATTACTATATCCGTGCCGGTTAAATAAGCTTAAAGTTTGATCAAATTTATAGTAAATAATATCAGCATTTATTTCTCTAAATAAATTTATTATTAAAATATATTATGTATAAAAAATATTTATATTTTTTATATAAATTTAGTCAAAGTTCAGACTATCTAACATCTCAAAGTCCGAGAATTACATTCTTCTACAGACTGGAGGTAGTATAGAGCTTTCAAAACAAAAAGCTGTGAAATATTTGTTTTTTAAAAAAAAGGAAAATATTGGTAGGCCATAGCCCATAGATGGATTGGCCGGCTCTAAAAAAACAGGTCAAGTATGCTTCCAGTGCGAAAAGCAGTCCCAGAATCTAACTGAAGATTGAAGAACATCAGTGAACAGATAATCCCCATACAGGCAATAATACACCATGATGTCCTACCAAAACCGGCCCCGGTTAACAAGCTAAACCCCGCACTTGCTGCCCTAACCCAAAAAATTCCTGATGCTAGTAGTCAGACGTACGAGTACCACGTACGTATGCGCGCGCGCCAGCCCGCGGTACGCGAGATATATATATATATATATATATATATACACACACGCATGTAGAGGCGTATAGCTAGCCGTAGAGGCATGGCCACTGCCGCTTGCCGTACGTATGTGTACCGTGTACGTACGTGGTGCTCGGTACGTACGTCTTCACTTGAACGCCGTGTCCAGGGATGCCTCGGCGAGCACGTCGAGCGGCGGGAACAGCGAGAAGCCGCCGTGCCGACCGTGGAACAGTCCCAGCTCTTCGCCGGCGAAGTCGAGGAACATCTGGTACTCCTCCAGCGCCTCTGCCACCTCCGTCTCGTTGGACGCCGCCGAGGAGTCGTCCCCGGGACCGGGACCGAGCAGCAGCGCCTGCGGCGGCTCCTGCTTGATCATCATAGCGTCCTGCATCCTCTTGACGACGACGGACGCCGGAGGAAGAAGCGCGGGCACCGCCGCCGGCACCGCGGCGGCCGTCTTGCGGTTGCGGCGGAAGGAGTCCCCGATGTCCGAGCTCCACAGGCGCAGGAAGATGTCCGCGGGCTTGGCGCAGCAGGCCTTCAAGTCCACGGTGGAGGAGGACGAGGAGGCGGAGGTGGCGGCGGCGGTGGTCGCGGTGGCGCCGGAGGAGGAGACGGTGGCGGTGGCGAGGAGGGAGAGGCGCGCCTCGGCCTCGAGCCTGGCCGTCTCCCACTGCGCCATGTGGCGCGCGGCGGGGCTACCGGCGGCCGGGCCGGGCGGCGGCTCGTCGAGGCCCATCCGGCGCAGCTGCTTCTTGAGGTGCGTGTTCCAGTAGTTCTTGATCTCGTTGTCCGTCCGGCCAGGGAGCTGCGCCGCGATCATGGACCACCTGAGGTACCAGCCAGGACCAACACCAGAAAAAGCCCATCAATATACTTTTAAGTCCTAGCAGTAGCAACCACGGATCATCGTGGCAGAAATGTGAGCAGGCAGCATGCTCTAGGCGACAGGTTTTGGACGCGATGGCTTGGACGGAGGTGGCATCATTCAATGCGGCGCGATGCTTTGCAACAGTGGGGCGCTGCCGCTGCGCCGAGCAGCAGGACACTGGCCGTGCCGTGCAAGCTCCTCAGATAGTTGAGTGAGTGAGTGCGTCATCAGAGAGACAGAGAGGAAACGTGCTAGTCTCTGCCACAGATCGATCGAATGGGACGGGGAGGGCAGGGACTAGTAGCTCGGCACGGCAAGTTTACTGGGGTCTTACTTGTTGCCGACGATGGCGTGGAGCTGGACGATGGACTTCTGCTCCTCGGGCGTGAAGGGCCCACGCATGATGTCCGGGCGGAGGTAGTTGGTCCACCGCAGCCGGCAGCTCTTGCCGCACCGGTTCAGCCCTGCATGCGATTGCGATCCCAGAATAAGCACCATTGACACCGACGAGGAATTTGGTTGGCATTTTTTTGCCACTGCGCGCGCGGCGCGGCGCCAATAGTCGGGCGACGAGGCAGGAACAGCAGCAGAACTAAGAAAGAAGACGACGTACGGTGGAGACCGCGAAGAGATGGAATGGAACAAGAGAGGAATGGAATTCTGACCTGCGAGCTTGGGGAGCAGGCGCCAGCTGCCATGGCCGTTGGTCTGGATGTAGTCGACGAGGAGCTTGTCCTCCTCCGGCGTCCAGGGCCCCTTCTTGAGGCCCTTGGTCCTGTCGCAGCACGGCGCCCTCCCCATCGGCCGCCGCCCGCCGAACCGCTTGCCGCGCTCTCCGGCCTCTCCCCAAGCCTCACAACACAAACACGCACGCGCACTGAAACTAACGCGTCGTGACGACACCAAGCACGAGAGATCGCGCGGCGCTCACAGGCACTTTGTCTTGTGAGTGCGATGTGTGGGAGGAGGGGTAAACAAAAGATTTGGGCTGGGCGAGAAAGGAAGGTAGAAAGCGGGCGCGGGTGACGAGGAGGGTTTTGTCTGCGGCCGAGGAGGATCCCTTCCCCGGGGCGCGCTTTTAATGGCGGAGATTTTCACCTGTTGCCTGCGAGGCTGCGACGAGACGGCGGAGTAGAGGGGTGGTGTAATGGTGTGCGTGTGGGGGAAGGGAGTGAGGGAGGGAGGCGGAGGCCTCAGTTCAGGTGCGAAGCCAGGCCCTGTTTAGTTTCCAATTTTTTTCTCTCCTACCGTAAAAAGAGTATGTTTCACATATAGAGTACTAGACGAAAAAAAACTAATTATACAGTTCTCGACAAAATCGCGAGACGAATCTTTTAAGCCTAAAGTCCTGTTTGGTTACCCCTCCTAAAAGTTTTAGAGCTAAAATCTAGATATAATTTGCCTAAAGAACCAAACACCTCCTCCTAAAAGCTTTCTAAAAACTTTAGGAGGGGTCAAAAACTTTAGGAGTTCCACCCCCTCTAAAAGCTCATAAAGTCCATCCTGTACCCCACTACCCCTCATTTATTATTGGCCCCGTTCGCTGGTCTGAAATTTGGCTGAAACTGGCTGAAAAACACTGTTCCGGATGAATTGTTGTGAGAGAAAAAACACTGTTTCGGCTGAAAAAAGAAGCCGAACAAGTCATTTTTAAGACAAGCGAACGGGGCGATTGCCTTGCCCCCCCCTCTCTCCTAGAGGAGGGCTGCATGGTCTATTTGCTAGTGTATTTATTGCTTTTAGTCAGTTTTAGGAGATAGAACCAAACACTCTTTTAGAAGATTTTAGCAGTCTCGTAAAAGCTTCTAAAACTTTTAGAATTTTTAGGAGCTTGGAACCAAACAGGGCTTAATTAGTCCATGAACAGTCTTAAATGCTACAGTAACCCACATGTGTTAATGACCGATTAATTAGTATCATTAGATTCGTCTCGCAGTTTTCCGATGGGTTCTGTAATTTGTTTTTTTATTAGTATCCAAAACCCTACCAACATCCTTCCGACACATCCGATGTGACATCCAAAAAAATTCACCTCCCCAACTAAACACACCCTAAATGGCGGTTGGGGTTGCTACTCAAAGTACCAAGTGCTAATTTATATGGTCCGATAATATGATACCATGTATTTCCCTCTACGACTACGATCCTTCATCTTATGAAAGTAAACTATCACATCTTCGATTGGAATTGCAGATAGAAATTCCAGTTTCACGAAGCATATGATACAATCATTCATAAATCCATCTCTAATATGATTTCTCAGTATTGTCTTCGCAATTTTCATTGCTGAAAAGCACCTCTCCACCGATGCAGTGGCGATAGGAAGAACTAGTACCAGCTTGAGAAGCCGATAAACCAAAGGAAAAGCCAAATGTTTTTTTGTACCCACCATCAACCTAGCAAGCTCAGAAATAGTGTTTAAGTCGGCAAATCTTTCATCAGCTCACATATTGTCAATGTAAATATTAAGCTCTCGATTAAGATCCTTAAGTTGTGTTGAGTTGAAATCATCGGGATATGACTTAGCCAACTCCATTAGACTCACATATTTGAATGCCTCAAAAGAATTCTTGGGATTGAAAGCAGCGATATGAGTAAGTAACTGAGAGTTTACCTCATTGAAACGATCACTAAATTCTGTAAGTTGCAAGTCAATAATTGGGTTCAAGCAATCATATCTATAATGTTGATAGTTAGTGCGATTGGTCTTTTTTCTTGGCCTATGGCGATCAATATATTCCTCATCCATATCCAACTTAGGAATGCCATGCTCTTCACAAAAGAAGTATACAATTAGCAGCAAACAATCCCAACCATCATCTCTAATTTGCTGAAATTTCTGCTTGGTTAACTTCACCTCTAACATGGTGTAACAGAACCGACCAATTATACGAAATTAAGTAAGAAAATCATCCACCAGAGCAGACGATTGAGCAAACTTAAGCCCGTATAACCCGGTAGTCCGTGAAATCACGAAGGATTTCAAACCAACTCGTGTCCCAGCCATGATCGTAATAAGTTTAGCGGTCACCAATCACATATTACATAAAAGTTTCCATAATGTATACATCGAGTTTAAACATAGTTATTACAAAATAAGTTCGAATAAAAGTAGCGGAAGTCATTTGTTTAAAACCACACACACTCACACGTAGTTCAAATATAGTGCCAGCTGATGATCATCTCCAACAAAAGCATTAGACGAGACGTAAGGAATGACCATGCCCATGGTCCTAAGCATCACCATCGCAGGATACAGGCGGTTGATACAATAGCCATAGTACATCCGCCCATCTCCGCAACAAGTGGGAATAAAACCACGAGTACGAGAATGTACTCAAATGGACTTCACCCGACATAACCGAAAATAAATGACACCAAGGATTATGCGAGGCATTATAGTAGGGTAGGTGACTCATTTGCAAAAAAGCATTTTTAGCATTTCAAGAACCTTTCTAAAAGCATTATTGTCAAGTTAATTATTATTAACTTTGTCGACTAGATTTGCACCTATACTAGAGTAAACATGTGATTAAGCAATTAATGATAACCACTGATCATTAAACAACTTCCATACTGTCATATTCACTATAAGCTGTCCAAGTGTTCCATAAACATTTACTACGATGAAGTAACTCAAGTCAAGTGCTCACTATCCAGAGCGATGGCGATTCGAATCGATTCCTAACCAAATGGTGATTTATTCCTTACACAAATCTCACTCACCCGCTAAAGTGAGATATTGATCACCGAGTCAACTTTCCGGTATCTCGAGTTTGCCAGAACCACATGTACCCGAGGGCCGACCGATCGCACTTTGGTCTTATCATCCCCCTTCTGTCCTACCACACACACCTTGCTACGCAAGTCTTGTCTGCGGGCAATCTACTCGGCCCAAAATCTCCCACTTCAGCGGTCCGGAAGGTACTTTATCCGGCCACTAAATGTAAGGCATCGTTCAACATGACTCGAGGCCCAACAACGGTCGGTCCTTAATCGACATGCAGGCGGAAACACTACAGGTCCAAAACCACGCAAGTCTCCGCCTTCTCAACTTCATTTAACACTTAGTTATACCATGACTTCATAGCCATCCAAACAGATCCGGTAACCACCTATAGCTCGCAGTGACAGAAATCACCGACTTCTACCGGTCTAAGCCACTAAGCATTGACTCGATTGCGCGGATACCGTGGTAACAAGGATATAGTATAACAAAGGTAAACAAGGTATAATGCAAACAACGGTTGCAAACAACTCCTGAACGTAATGCATCAATTTAAAGTAAAGCATTTAACGAAATCATTGCAAACCGGGAGAAAGATGTCTCGGGGCTTGCCTCTCTCGAAGGAGCTCGGACGGTGATCGGGGCACTCGGGAAGTTCTTCAACGTCCTCCTCGTCGACTTCAGCACTTCCTCTGCTGCACCTCGAACTGCTCCTCGGGCTCCTCGGGAATGACGACTGGGCTCTCGGTTTGCGATCCTGTATGATGCAATGCGTGTAAGTGCCTATGTAATCGGTGCATCGAAGGAGATGAATGCAATGAATATGTCGAAAGGCAAGGTAGACAACATCATCCAAGAAACTATGCTACAAGCACATGTCATCTACTGCATTCTCTTCTACTACCAATATGTTAAGTCAACATATTTTATTAAATGCTTCAAAGATACACCAAAGCTTTACTAATTTCTTAATCACACTTAAGGCAACACTTGCTTAAACCCTAATTAATAATAGGTTTGAATAGCAACCTATATTTCTGATGCTCCTAAAATCTGAGAAAATTACAGTAGCATAATACTACCCTAAACAGACTACCATAAAAAATTTCATGACATTTGGATAAGTAAACTATCCTACACAAAAATGACAAGCTATAGCATAAAATGAGCATGAAATTACTTTGTACTATGAAAAGTGTCAAACAACAGAATTAATATTTTTCCTAGGTTCTTCATAGTATATAATGACTGTACAAAAAATTACCACATGCATGTTTTATACAAATTTTGCTCTCTAGCAAAAATAACAAAAATCAGCCATCTAAGGTACTTGAACTACACCTCAAATTTTTCCCACAGCACATGCATGAAACATATTTTTCCTAGGAAGTACATGACATAAGAAGATTAACAAACTTGGAATCATATTTTTCTGAAGCCTATATATTTTCTACATATTTTTCAAGTTATCAGCAATATTCAAGATTAAATAAAATCCTATAGAAAAGTATCTCAAAAATGACATGCACAATTTTTCCCAAGTAGATCTGATGATAAGGAACCTAGCAAAATTTGTTTCAACAAATTTGGAGCAACTTTGAGTATCCAAATATTTTGCAAACCATTTCTGCTTTCAAATAATAATGAATAAATTGAAAACAATTCATTTAAAACACCGCTTCTTTGGCGGCCAAGAAGGAACAGCTGGCCCATGGTCAGATCTGCCTGCCCGCGCCCAAGCGCTTGAGGAGGAGCGCTGCTGCGGCTGGCAAAGCAGGCTTGACCACGGTCGCTTTACTCGCCGGCCTTAGTTTGGTTGGCTCGGTCGAAGGCAGGGTTTCATGGTCTTGTGTGTGGCAGCGCGACGGCATGGCTCGACACCACGAGGCGGCGGCCATCTCCGACACGGCAGCAAGCGCAAACAAGCGAGCGCAGGAGGTTCGCGAGGCCATGGCGAAAACGAGCAGCAAAGCCTAAGCACGAGAGAAGGGAGGAAGAGGCGCTCCCACGGCGGCGAAAGCACGGCGGCGCCATGGACGACGGCGGTGAAGCTTGGAAAAAGCGCTACCTCGGC